TTATGTAAACAGTGGATACAGTTTGTTTTTACGGAGCAGCAACGCAGTTTCACAAGTGTGTTTGTTGACGAACGTTTTATAAACAATGCCCAGTTCGACGCTGGATTTGCACATCGTTTGATACTGAAAGATGGAGCGGTTCCAGCTATATAAGATCCCGGTCATGATTCAGAGCTGCAGACGGTAAGTGAAATGGCATCAAATGTCGGCATTCGGCGCCCAAGTGCTCGTCACTCTTTAGCTCCGCCCACGGCGCGAGCTCGGTTTTTTCCGGAATCGTAAAGCTGTATCTTTCTTTTATAAATATGATCAAACTAAAGACTTTTTGGAGATATGAAGGATGCAGTACTACTCTATAGGTACTCAAGATTAACATGAGATTGGGTGAAACTGTGTGTGCTATGCATGCTGGCCAATCAGAGCACACCTCGCTTTTCAGACCGATTAGTTTTGTAAAAATCGACGCGTTTCAGAAGGCGGGGCATAGAGGAGAAACAATAATGTACAGTATGTGGAAAATAATGTGTTTTTTGTACTTTAAACCGCATAAACACATTTCATTACACCAAATACACAAAATAATGTTCTTTTTAGCAGCATCATATGACCCCTTTAAACACATGACATAAAAGTTTAAATAGAAATGACATTTCATATTTTAGTTTACCATTAATGCTTATCAGTACATTCTACATTTACATTTATATTTAGTCATTTAGCAGACACTTTTATCCAAAGTGACTTACAAATGAGGACAATGGAAGCAATCAAAATCAACAAAAGAGCAATGATATGCAAGTGCTATGACAAGTCACAATTAGCTTAACGCTGTACACGTAGCAAGTTTTTTTTTAAATTATATAATAAATAAAAAGAAAAACAGATAGAATAGAAAAAAAATAGAGCAAGCTAGTGTTAGAGGCCTTTTTTGCTTTTGATAATTGTATAATAAATAAAAAGAAAACAAATAGATAGAATACAAAAAGATTAGAAAGGCTAGTGTTAGTTCTATAGTATACTTTAACCATATTTCAAAGACAATAAAAGCAATTATGAAGTTACATATAAAGAAGTACTTAAGCGGGTCATAAAAGCACTCTTAAGTTCAACTAATTGCATTTAATATAAATTTAAACTATAATATGCTTTCATTTAATAGTAAATAACACACACTTAAGTGTCTTAAAACATTACATTCAGTTCACACTTAAGTATATTCTTTTAAATTATACTACTTCCATAATAAAAGCATGCTAAAGTCTTATTTTTCACAACAAAAGACCCACTGTCCTCTTTTAATTCCTGGATTATACTACACATTCCAATTTTGTATTAACCCAAGATATCTAAGAGACCAGATTTGAAGATTTTTCCATAATGGTTCAAATTTGGAACAGCTGATCTCAGACTACTTCCTATATTTATCCTAATTCCAGTTCGTCATTCCGAACCAGTCATTCCCCTCCCCCAGACACGCCTCTGGAAAGTTAGAGATCAAGTCAAATGTCTTTGCTGATCCTGCCCTCCCATATCACCTCAGCACGGCAATGACGCCTGATGATGTCAAACCCTGCCCACACGTGGAGTCGAGCGTGTGCCCGTGCGGCTGGCTGTACAGCGTAAAATGATGCATGTATGCATTAACATTGACAACCATTCACATGCACCAATGCTCGCTGTCATAGGATTACATTGGGGAAACACTCTAGCGAGCACATACACGCACACACACACAGCAGGATTACCAACACAGTTCCACACAGACATAGCAAGATTACAGAGACAACCCCCTCTTCTTCCCCAACACAGGATACAGACTGCTGGATTAGAGAGGCACAGATTTACATAGAGAGAAATTACAATACAGTGCATATCAAAAACTCTCTCAAATGTGCTGTTGAGCATAAAAACACACGCAGGCATTTATTAGATCTTAAAGGAGATGCCCCTTTTTACAATATGTAATATAAGTCTCTGGTGTGCCCAGAATGTGTCTGTGAAGTTTCAGCTCAAAATACTCCACAGATCATTCATAGCTAAACATTCTAAATACACATCCGTATTTGATACAGATGTTGATTTTAGGTACAAAATGGCCATTTTGGTTGCTTGAGTGACAGACAACGTGACATGACAGCAAATGTGATTCTGAAAGACAACGGAATGACCGATGGATCGATCAGCCTCTGTTGGACTGCTCTCATTGAGATATCGAATAGCATCCTTGCAAGAGCAGAAAGAAGACACACACTCGTGCACCATCAACATTACACACTTCATGTGCACGCACGCACGCACGCGCACGCACAAACACACAGTCACAGAATAACCTCACTAATCTTCTCTCAATGGTTTAAAGCTGCTGAAGAAGCTTAATAATTTAAGAGGAAAACAGCATCAGTGCTTTTAAGGACATATGCACAGAGATTAGCCCCCTTGCTCCACACTGGACAACAAAGGACACCCTTTCGCATGACTGAACTAATGATGTAAAATGCATTTCGATATCAATATGATAAAGCAGAACGGCCGAAAGACCGATGGAACAGAGTTGTTCCGTGTGAGGGTCCATTTGTGGAAAAAAGGAGTCGACATACATTTACCTAAATGTATATTTATAATGCATAATGTATGCATAATGTATTCAACCCCATGTTTTTCCGAACCCCTATGACTTTCTTTCGGTAAGTCAAAGAGACCCGAATCAGTTTAACTACCAACATTAATTTTAATATAACAAAATATTTTTATTTTGTGTTCAGCAGTAGAAAGTCATACAGGTTTGGAACAACATGAGGTTGAATAATTTTTAGGTTTTTGTTAAACAATACCTTTAAGGATATATATATATATATATATACAGTATCTCACAGAAGTGAGTACACCCCTCACATTTTTGTAAATATTTTATTATATCTTTTCATGTGACAACACTGAAGAAATGACACTTTGCTACAATGTAAAGTAGGGAGTGTACAGCTTGCTTGACTAAAACAATGTATTGTATAAAGCAGTCGATGCTTTTTTGGGACAGATGGACTGCCATACTTCCACACTTTCCAGTTTTTTAAATGCATCTGACAGGTTTATGCAAAAACTACTTGGCAGACCTAAACATTAACTGGGCCACATCTCTCACCAAATTAGTTGATGAATTGTATGTTGACACTCCATCCTGACTGGACTTGTTGACTGTTTCTTCATTAGAGAAGGAGACCCCCTCTATTATTAATAGTTTAGCAGAGGCTTGTAAAGGTCAAGTGCATTAGTTGAGATTTCAAACACACTGCATGAAGATCTGGGTAGGATAAAAGCAGCTGTTTATTTTATCTAAGAGTATTGTATTTATTTTATGAATATAAGTAAATCAAGTAGTCAAGAACTGCCTCTGAGTTGTGACAAATATGTGGAGATGTGTACATTATAATCCAAATTCCAACGTGACTATTAGCATTGCCTTAATGTAGAATGATACATAATTTCTTCTTTGGGCATATTCTTTTATCTACAACCTATACCTCTTCTTGTAGAGCTACACTGTTTATCGGCTTATACGGAGACTTCTCATTTCTCACCGTTACCGATGGGTGGAAAATGTTGATTTGTTGTTTTCAATGACACGAAAGTTGTCTTCCTCCAGGTGGCGCATTGCTGAATAGAGAACCGCGAGTGTATTCAAATTTCAGGAAGTTTTTATTTGATACATTCGTACACTAAAAATAACTGTTCAAATCTATTAATTTGTTAACACGTGGCCTGGAAAACTTAGCCGCTATCTCGCTTTATACGATTTTTAAAAATCCTCATCTAGTAATCACAAACGACTCTGATTGTTCAATTCTGATAAGCGATGAGCAAAGTAACAGCCGCCACGTGATAGGGTTGTCTCGCGGTGCCTGTTATTTTTCTCAGCGCTGTTCGGGATAGACCAATTACAGTTGTTTGTGAATACTATGATTCTTTAATCTAGATCTGGACAGTAATTCTAACATAATAATGACACTCTGAGACTTTAATAGTCTTTTAAATACACATAAAAGAGCTAAAATTATTATTGTACTTACACCCTTCGGTCTAGTAAGCCACGCACACATTTAATGCTAATTACTTTTCTTTGGTTTGGTTTGGTCTTTTAGCCTAGTCAGTAGCCAAAAAAAGATCTCGTGAATGCGTTTGAGTTTAATGTTCTATTCACACGTATTAATTCCGTTTAAGTCAAACCAAATTTACATTTCAAGAAATATTTTATACGCAAATTCACTCCTTCAAAATAAGGGCACTTAGTAGACAGCATATCCAGGCTGTGCTCGTACGGCGCCATTTTCCCTGGGAGGGAATGTTAACAGAAGCACACTTTCAACGTGCACTATTAAGGGCCCTAGAAATCTGTTTTACGAAGTGATATAAAATATGGATTCGGCGTCGACCAGCTCTAAACTCATCTATAAAAGTAAGTCGTTCGTTTTTGCGCGAAACTAATTAGTAATGTGAGCATTAAGCTAACTAACTGGCTGTTTTATGTGCACTATAGTGTCTAATGAGGATATCACAAAGCTGATACAGCTGCGATCGAGCAACTCGGCGCTTTTTGACGGGAGGAAAAATTCGTCTAAAACAGCCTGGAGGTGAGATTTGCAGTCTTAAAATTTGCCTTGCTCTCTCATAACCTGCGTTCAGATTCAAAGTCGTTATTTTGTTTATTTTTTCAGTGCAATACTCAGAGAAATGGGGCTTGAGGAAAAGATGACAACTGAGCAGATTGCCAAAAAGTGGGAAAACCTGAAGGCAAGATATAAGGTTGGTCTCACTGCTAATTATGTTTTGCAAATGCCAACTTTCTCAGAACATATTCAACAATTTAATGCATTTCACACTTCATTACAAGGATGCAAAATATCCTCCCACCGGTGTGGAGAAGAACCCCACCTGCTGGAAATGGTTCAATCTCATGGACGATGCTCTGGGTGAAGAGTTTGATGAAAAGATCAGCCAGCAAGTGATCACATCAGAAGCTGACAATGATAATGCACCTCATCCAAGTAAGCGGCTACGCCAGATTAAAGTCGGAGGGGAAATACTAGAATTCCTGGAAGAGGAAGGAACTTTGGTGAACGTGCCCCCGGCCTCCAGTCCGCATCTGGTTAAGCGGGGAAGACAAAAAGGCAAGCAGACGACAGAAAGTCACTCGCTGGACATCATGAGAACCAAACTTCGAAGAGAAAGACAGCTTCTAGAAAAGGAGCTTGGAGGCCTGGACAGAGAAAAAGCCCTTCTAGAGCGGGAAAGGGCCCTTGCCGATCGGGAAAGAGCAGCGCTTCAGCGGGACAGAGCCCAGGTAGAGAAGGACAAAGCTGCAGTTAACAGAGACAAGGCGTCTTTGGAACAGGACAGAGCCCGACTGCAGAAAGACAGAGAAGTTTTGGCTAGGGACAGAGCGGCCCTTGAAAGAGACAGAAGGTCGGCGCATATCACTAATCACGTGAAAAGCAGTTTAGGATGCAATGGGCTGGACTGTCCTCACGAAAAAAACAGAGAAAGATTAATATTCTTACTTGAAAAGGTGATTGAAAAAATTTGAAGCAGGTCTGAGATGGGGGCAAACCTCAGGGAAAAACTGCGATGAGTTATTGGGATTATCTGAACAATCCTTGGGTTGTTGACTGAAGATACATTATGTACACAGTCTAGAATGGATTCCACATACATTGATAGGGTGCACAAGCTAAATATTTTTGAGATTTTTTTATTGATTTGTAAATGTTGAAAGAAACATGGAGTGTGATGATGCTTTATTTCTGAAACAATGTAAAATAACAGTGTCTGGAGGTAAAGTATACCATACGTGCCACACAATGAATGTCAAAAGAAGATTCATGGTCCACCTTGTTGTCATTCAGAAACTGTTCAAATGTAGCTGAAAAGTATAAAAAGCTGTTTAATGACAGGTCTATTGTAGAGACAACTGAATTTGTTGTCAAAGAATTTATGGTTTGTGTCTATTCAAGTTTTAGGTTTGTGGCTTTCACAAATAAACCTGCACTGAAAAATATACGCCAGAGAAAGTGTAACAACTAGTCCTGGTCTCACAGATTTGAGTGAAATTTCCACTCAAATTGTTTACAAAACAAATCAAATAAAAAATGAACAATGTATATTATTATCATATATAATGCAGATAAAAATGTGTAATGAAAACTTTTTAAATGGGTGTAATTCAAAATAGAAGATTTTTTAGGAAAATCTTACCTTTGATCATTGTTACTTTAGTGTTATTCATATGCTATTTTGGTTTTTATTTTCAGTTTTCATGTTCATTTTAGTTAAATTTTTAGTAATTTTGTTACGTGCTTTTGTGTGATTTTTATTAGTTTTTGATTAAAAAAATAATAATAATACTACTTGGGTTTAATTTATTTCCAGTAATTTTATTTTAATTTAGTTTAAGTTTTGAATCTAATGTTTGTGTTGTATTTTATTTCAGCTTTATTTCAAAATGCTTTTAAAAGTTTGTTTTAGTTGACAATAATAACCCTGCTGTTGATTACAGGATTCAGCATTTTTTGATGACTCCATTTTTTTATAAAACTTGTAGACATATAATCTATAACTAAAGATGAGAAGGAATTGAGACGAAGATGCTTATTTTATTGTTATCATTTTTCTATAGCGTAACTGAGAGTTGTTTTGTCTCCTGACAGCTAGAGGGCAATAATCTAATAACATTCGTCCGTCTGTTAAAAACGGGAAAAGCTGTGAAGAAGTGCTGTCTGCAATAGAAACGCAAACGGTTATTGAAGAAGTGAAAGAAAACAATAATATTCATGGTATTACTGTATATCTCATAAGAGGAGTTTGGCCGCCTCTCTCCCTTTCAGAAATGGCGCAACCATCTCAACAATGTGAGTGTCATTGTGTAAACCCGCACTGTGTGCACGCATGCAAAACTTTCGCACATTTCTGTAACTCTCTTATGAGTTTCTATATAATTCACGGTGGATTTAAAACCGGGTTAATGCACTTGATATGTGCAGCTGCTTTCGAGTAATAAATAAGGATTTATTACTATTATTTCAGACTGACAGTTGTCAGTGTTTATGCTGTGGTTTGACTGGGCGGTTTGTTTTGCATATATAAAATCACATGTTACAGCAGCACCAAACCTACAGTAAATTCATGCCGGACTGGCTGTTCTGTTTCAGGGTCTCACAAGGACACTGAGACACTGATCAGGTGGCGCATGGCCCATGGCTATTTATTCTCAGGCTGGAGGAACACATGCAGAAATGGCTGGGAGTATGTACTCATTGTGATTCATATGTCATATGTGATTCATTTGACATCTGCAGTACATGTCGTTTGTATCCCATTATATATGCGTAATTGCTTGTTGTTGCTATTGTTTAACAATAAAGAGCATCTCTTAATGAAGGGGGTTTCAAACTTTTAATGCCAGGGACCCCCATTTATGCTGACCCCTTTCTAATAATGACAGATGAGGTATAATCCATTTATACCATTTAAAATTAACAATAAAAATGTTGAGTTCTAATTATTTAATTATATTATAATAATTTTGCTTTATAAATACTTTTATATTAAATTTAAATTTTATATTAAATAATATATATTACATTTAAATTTATATTAAAAATAAATTTTGTATAATGTTATATAATTTAT